CCCTCTTCCCCTTTCCCTCCCCTTTCCCTATTCCCTTTTCTCTTCCTCTCCCTTTTCCTTCCCCTCTTCCCGATTTTCCACCATTACTCCACACTCTGTTGCTCCCTCCAACACTGTGTAAGCTACAAGCAGGGAGTTATTCCCATTGTGCCCGGAGAGGAGACGGGAGCAATGATCTGAACACACTCCTCTTTCCCCCTTTCCAGGGAAACTCACTGCAGAAGTCAGTGAGTAACTTTCCTGCCTGAAAAAGAGGGGAAAAGGGGAAAAGGGACCTGGAAAACTGATGGGAATCTGTTGTTCCTTATCTTTGTCTTAGCAAAATGCAATGCGACGATCAGTAAGTGACATTCCCTGCTCCAGGGCTCGTGTCCGTGCTTCCCGGCATTGCAGGGATGCTGGAATGCCTTCATTTGGGAAGCCCGAATCCAAAGGTCACGGGGAGAGGAAAGGGAAATATGGGGGGGGAGGGGGAGGAAATTCCCATGGGAAGAGCTGAGATGAGCCAGGATCTGGCTCAGGGGGTTTGGGAACTCGGATGGGATCTAACGCTGCTCTCTGCCTGAAGGGATCTTCACGGTGGAGCTGGGTAAGTGCAGTGCTTTGTTCTCGTGACACTTCCTTTGATTTCTAATGATTTGCTTCATTTTTCACTGAAACTGTTCAAACTATCCAAGATTTGGGAATATTAAACCCTATAAAATTGTAGTTTTCCCAAAGGAATCCTCGATCCAAGCCCCAGCCTCGGCTCTGCCTCTAGGAGCTGGGGAGAAACAGCATCATGGGGGCAGAGATACGGAAGTTTTAGCCCCCAAAATAACTAGAAATGGGAATAACATGTATATAGTGGGAATAATGTAATACCAGGAAGCTCTTGGTATTCCAGATTATGGGATAAGATAATGAAGGGTGAGGGGCAGGAGCAATGGAAGTAACTCCTGGTTGTTTTTTCCTTCATTCCAGGTGAGCAGAACACAAAAATAGGTGGGTTTCACCCCCCCCTTTCCCAGAACCTGGATTTGGGGAATTCCAGAGTCTTTTCCATAAATCCCATTGTGTTTTCCCTCTCTTTTCCCAGGGGAACTCACTGCAGACATCAGTAAGTCACTTCCCCATTAACCCCAGCTTAGGTGGGAATGACACGGAGCCGGTCCCGGTGTACTGACCCCCCATTCCCACTGCTTCGCAGGGGAATGCAACAGGAAGCTCCGTAAGTGCCTCTTTTTAGTCCACCCTTGGAATTCTGTCACTGAGGAGAATGGAGCAGCACCAGATCCCTGCTTTGCTGCGGGTTTCCTCTCTCTTTGCAGGGAAGCAGGCGGCGGAACTCGGTAAGGAATTCCCTGCTTTGCTCAACACAGAGATCTCCTTCCCTTTCCCAGGTTTTTCTGCCCCACTGAGGTCTCCAAGGGGGAATTCCTGTCCTAGTCAGCTTTAGGAGGGTGTGTGCAAAAGCTGGGATAAAGGTGTGATGTACAGATGGGCCTGTGGGTGGATCCTGCGGGAGATGGTAGGAGAGGTGGTTATATGGTAGGACACGTGATGGGGTATATGCTTATATGAGAGGATATATGGGGGTAGGGTAAGATACATGATGGGGTGTATGATTATATGGTAGGAGATATGGTGTATGAGAGGAGATATGATGGGAGGAGATATGATGATAGGATATATGATAAGATATATGAGTATATGATAGGGTATATGATGATAAGTAGGACATGTGATAGGATATATGATGATAAAATAGAATATATGATTGTATGGTAGGGTATATGGTAATATATATGATTATATGATAGAATATATGATTATATGGTAGGATATATGATAAGATATATGATTATATGATAGAATATATGATTATATGGTAGGGTATATGATAGAATATATGATTATATGATAGGATATATGATGATAGGGTATATGATAAGATATATGATTATATGATAGGATGTATGAGGATATGGTAGGATATATGTTTACGTGATAGGATATATGATGATATGGTAGCATATATGATGTGGTAGAATATATGATAGGATATGTGAGGATATGATAGGAGATATGATGGTGTGGTAGGATATATGTTTATGTGATAGGGTGTATGGGTATATGACAGGATATACTGTTCGGTGCTAGATTCCATAGTAGGTTCTGTGATTCTACGACACAATAGAATCGACATTCCCCAAATCCCGTTGCCAAGCAGCCCCAGGGATCAGATCCCAGCTCCAGGAGGAGCCTTTGGCAGAGCTGGGCCTTGGGCTCATTTGTGTCTCTTTCTTTGCTGTTTGTAGAGGAACGGGACATGACCATCTGTGAGTATTCCCTGCTCCTGCTCCAGGCCGGGCTCTATCCCGCTGCTATTCCTAGGGATGAGCTCAGGGGCAACACGAGCTGCGGCCACAGTGAGGGCACAACCATCAGATCCTGGCTGGCAGAGCAGGAACACCGGGGGGAGCACCAGCACTGGGGGGGTCTCATGGATACAGCCCCTTATCCCTCCTATAAATCCCATTTGGATACTTCCTGGGTCATATTTAGGGCTGCTGGAGCCTGGGTCTCACCCACAAGTGTTCACTGTGTGAGGCTCGAGGGGGTTGGAAGCAGAATGGGGATGGGAATGAAGTGTTCCAAGATCCCAAGAGCTGCTCTGGGATATGATGCAGATTCCTTGGGATTTATTCCCATTATTTCCTTTCTTTCAGGGGAAAAGGAAGCCGAGATCCGTAAGTGCCTTTCCCTGCTCCAGGGGTCAAGGGGGCCTCGTGCTCAACCCTGCACTTGGTCTAAATCCAATATCCACAGGGGAAAAGGGTTTTCCCTGTGGGATTTCCCTGGGGAACCCAAATATGGGAGTGAAGAACCCCCAGATTTGGGTCTCGAATGCTCCAAATGACTTCAGTTTGGAGGAAAAGAGGAAAAGTGAAGGGAAAAGGGGATACAAGTGATGGTTTTCCTGCGGGATCCCGATCTGGCCGCTGTCAAATTGGCCCCGGTGTGCCCAGGATTGGATTTATGTGTCTAATGTATTGATATTCCCCATAATCCATGTAAATCTTGTTATTTATGTCCTCAATCTGTATTTTATGTGCCATAAATGCATGGTTACATGGATAATAATCACATTCCATCGTAAACACATCCCTACAAAGTGGATCATCTATAATGCTGGCATCAAAAAGTCCATGTTTGACCTAATCTGAGCCTCTCCACTCCCAGGGCGCCTCACTGAGCTGCTCAGTACGTGTGTTTCATCCCTCCCTGGCCCTAAATCCCATGGGAAAAGGGCTGCTAATGGTGATACCTGGGATTTCTTCCCGCTTGCAGAGAGCCAGGATTCGGGAATGCGTAAGTTGCTGTGTGCATCCTGCAGGGGCAGCGGCAGCCCTGCAGTGTGTGCGGCTGCTCGATGGGGTTCCTAACGCCAACAACTAGATGGA